CATAAAAAGGAATGAAAACAAGGGAATCTTTTGATCCATGCTACAACATGAATGAATCCTGAAAATTTTGTGCTAAATTAAAGAAACCAGACAGAAAAAGCCACATATTATATGGTTTCATTTATAGGAAATGACCAGAAGAGGCAATTTCATAGACACAGAAAGTAAGTGGAGATGGGGTAAGGGGGAAATGGGAAGTAAGTAATAGGTTTGGAGTTTTGGGGGGGATATTGAAAATGTTCTGGGATTCATAATGGTGATGGTTGCACAACTTTGTGAATATACTAAAAAAATCACTGATTTACATGCTTTAAAAAGCTAACTTTACTATATGTGAATTATATCTCAAATAAAGAATTGAGAAAAAATTATATGGAGAGAATTAGTGTAAAAACGGGATAGCCTAAAATACTGGAGCAAAATGTGCAATGATACTAAATGACAAAGAAGGTAGAGATACTCTTTAATTTCTGTTTCTCTGCTAATAATGAACAGGCTAAATATACATTCTTCAAAAGAAACTAGAGTTCAAATGAGGCAAGGTGATAGTAAGAGGGACTATAGCTTGAAACAAGTTCAGGAGTACCCCTCCAAATAATGGCAAATTATTTAAATTTCATCACCAAATTACTTCTGATGCAAAATATGTCAATCTGAAATATCATAGCAGGGCCAAAAGCCTGGGTAAGAGAACATATGATAAATCCTAAAGAGAAAAGTAAGTAGTATCTAGAAATTCTAGACCAAACTTTTTCCTTCCAAAATTCAAAACTGTGTTAAACAAAATGCTTGTGAAGTTAGAAAAGAAAAAAGCCAGAGGACTCACAATGAACAAGCTAAACCAAGTTAAGCGCAATTTCTATTTTGATAGGTTTATTTCACTGCAGTCAAGAACCTTGCAGGCACAGAACAGCTTAATACAGCAACCCATTTAGCAAAATCTTCACAATATCAATAGAAAATAGCATAGAGACTTGACAGTAAGTGGAATTAGTAGTTACTAAATCACTACAAGGTGTGCTGATTAACAGACTGATGTTAACTTGAGAGAATCTAGTCAAGCTTCATACCTCAGGGCCCTTTATTCTGTCATTTTATTATTTTTATCAACAACTGGAATGAAGACCCAGTACCTATGCCTACCAAATAAAAAATGACAAAAAAGAGAGGATATTAAATGCCTAAATCAAGACTAACAAAATGAAATATAAAAGCCTAATATTACACAAAAAACTGGGCTAAGGAGACTTAGTTTAACAACTATGTAAAAAGATATAGAGCGTAACTGAGACTACTGGCTCATATTAATAATAAGTAACAGAAGTTAAAACCTTTAATGAAACATTTGGTTTTGAAACAGTAGCATTTAGCTCAAGCAAGGTATATCCATCACACAAGTATTCATCTAAAATGCTGAGTACAGTTCTGGTACCATGTTAAAGACAATGAGCAACAATTAGAATTCATTAAGAGATTAATGACAGTGGTTGAAAGATCAGAGAATTACATTGTCCGAGGAATGATGAAATAAATTGGGAATGTTTTACTCTAAGAAGAGCCAAGAATACTCAGTGTGTGTGGCAGAGAAAGGAATCAGCCAGATCATTATAATAGTCTTCAAATATTTTAAGGGGCTATTTATGTGGAAAGGCAATTATACTTGGAAAAAGCAAAATATAGTGGGAACAGCAAAGGCTTTGATGTCATAAAGATTCACTTACTGAGTTCATCATTTACTGTGTTACTTTGTGGATAAAATGAAAGCTCCCGCGCCAGGATTCTCACCTGGCTGTGGCGGGCTGGCTCACTACACATGTGTGGGCAATACGTAGCTATTGACTCTATATAAAGAGCTCCGCCCAGTGCTCTGGGTGACACAGTAGCAAGGCTGCAGGAGAGCAGAGCAGAGGCTGGAGTGGTGGCAGCGCTGAGGACAGAGGTCCAGAGGCCCAGACACTGGCTTGCTGCATGCAGACTCGCTCTGAGTAAACGGGATTTTAGTGATTAACCTGCCACCGTGGAAATAAAGTTGGGTATAACCCTTTCAATCCAAGAACGTTCTACTGTCATCCCTTTGGTCACACTGAATTCACAGTGAACTTGCTGGGGACTGAACCTCATTGGCAAGACAAACTTGATGCTAAGATATACTTTCCTTACATAGAAAATAATACCTTCCTCATAAATAGATAAAAATTAAATGTAACTAGTATACAAATGTTTATAAGCTGCCCAGCATAGCCTGACACACTGTGATGTACAGTGAAGTTCCCTTCTCCCAGCTGTTCTAGAACACTGTTTTCCAAACGGAGTTACAGAACATTCTTAGTGAGTTGTAACCACTTTCTTCTAAACAGAATAGAAATTATCAGAGCTTACCACATGTACTAAAAGTAACTAGTTTTGTGAAACTTTTGTTTCAATAATCCTATATATGTGTATACTAGGCTATGACGTAAAGTGTATCTTTTATCATGAAGGTGGGTCAAAAAAAAAAGCTATAAAAGCCACTTCTCTAGAGAACTGAAAAATGTGCTCTACAGAATCCTGGAAGCTCAAAAAAGCTTAGGAAACAAACTGTTCCACTTATTTACTATATCCAATACATACAGCATATCAAAAAGTACCTGTTTGTTTTTTTTAACCTCATTTTTTGCACATACATTTGATTGCAGACCCACCATTATTTTTCATACATTATTTACACATTCAGGACTAACATTTTGTGGTGTACACTTGGGGATAAACATTCCTCTGGATGAAAAAGAGCATACAATTGGTTAAAGTTACAGAAAGCAGTTTAGCTTGCTAAGAAAGAATAAACTCTTGATTGAATCATCCACCCTTTGCCAATAACACCCAGCCCTTCCAATTTATACTCCCAACACATACTCAAAAACAAATGACTTATCAAACTTTGAATTCACACAGATCTTTTAAGAAAAAGTGTAGGACATATATAATATCAAGATAGGTAGCCAAGATCAAAGCAGCAAGCAGAAACCCTGATCAAAGTAACTTCTGGCACAGTATTTAAGGCTTGCTTTACCTAAACAACCCTTATGCTCAGAAACCAAAGCAGCAAAACACTTAATCAGCTTCTCCAAGTGCAGTCAATGTGCTCTAATAATACATAATCTAAAATGGGCTGATGAGTGCAGCTAATACTCATTACTAAGAGCGTCATTATCAACACTTGGAAGAGGAATGTGATGATATTTAGATGATTCTGGGTTCTTGTAAAGTGTACACATACCCAGGATTTCTCTTTGGTAGGACATGACTTCACACTAATGTGAAGAAGTGTCACTACCATAGTCAGTTCTAATAATATTTGTATCACTTGGCAATCAAATAAAGGCTTGACATCATATATTCAAGATTATCTCTGTAATTCAAACCTACCTAATTGGGAATTAGAAATATCTCTGACTGTGTTCTAACAGTTGTCAGAGCATAAAATATCCTTCCAACTCTCCCCAACCCCAGACTCCAAAGCTACCTTCTCCTCAAAGTTTGCCTCAACTACTTTAGGCTATTATTTTCTTTCCAATTTCTGAGCACTCTCAGTGCTTTTTGTTCCTATCACTCTTATTAGCAACTCACTGTACACGTCCCAGCTTATATAACTAACTACATAAAACTTGGCTCCCAAGAAGACTGCCTTTAAGAACAGGGATCAACATTTTAGTCTTTAAAATCTTCCACAATATCCTGTAATAAGCTCTCAAAGTATTTCTTAATTTAAATAACTAAGCTTAAGAGGAATAGTAACTAGTCTTGGGGAGCTTACTAGATGCCAGACCCAGCGCTAAAAGTGTACATGGGTTATTTTATGTAATCTTCACAACTCTTAAAGAGGTAAAAACTACTATTTTCTCAATCAAATAAGAGGAAGAAAGTGAGGCTCAGAGTAACCACCGTCATAGAGCTAGTAAATGGCAGAGCAAGGCCCTGAACTTCAGTTCGGAGCCTGAAGTTCAGACAAAGTTCTTAACTACCTCAGTACAATGTAAACCTGCAGCCTGGCAATACCAGAGCCCATGCAGGATTGGATTTCACTAAGACAGAAGTTTCCATTTCAACAAAGGGTTGAAACACTTTAGCTAAAATTCAAAACGTTGAAAAGGGATAAATTAAGAATTTCCCGTAGATATCTTTAGCGGTTGCAATAAAATGAGTGAGAGCAGCTCCCATGTCCTTTCTATTTATGGAAGTGATATATTAAGGTGTGGGTCACAATTTTATCAAGAAGTGGCTTATGACAATACTGCTTTGGTTTAGGTTTCAAAATAGGGCTCTTTTTCTCTACCCCATGGTTGACATGGAAATGAAAGATGGATGTGAAAACTGTCACTTCACAGATCCAAAAACTGCAGACCCAATTCTTGTGTAAAAAATAAAGAGCCAGGGCCCTTGTCCCACCCTCTGCCCTCTTCACACAAAGCAGCACCACCCTCTGCCCTCTTCACACAAAGCAAGCTTTACCCCACTACCCAGAGGGGAGTGCTGATTCACACGGCCTCAGAAATGTATCCGTCTCCCACTGGTCCAAAACACCGACCACTGCACAGACCGAAACCACTCTGGTCTACTCCCTGCAACCAGTGATACCACATTCATGGAGACCCTTTCCCAACATTCAATGCCCAGGCCACCATCCGAAAACCAGTTATTTCACACAAAGCAGGATACTTTCCTACATAGCAGTTGCCCAGCTCCCATTCCTCCGAAGGGGAGCAGCCCTTCCCAGGCTTTACCAACCCACGGATCCCAACGGGTCCACAACCCAGAAGAGAACTAGCTACAAAACCGGTTCCTCCTACACGCCCCGAATCCCCAACTCCAGCTGACCTTTCCGCAGCCAAAGCAAGAAAACCAGGAGTCCCCGTCAGAGAGCGGATCCGGCCACACAAAGCGAGGTGTCCCAGTAGGGGACCCTCGAAGACGCTCTCTACCCCGGGGCCCGTCCCCGCCCAGCCCCGGAGCCCCGCGCTCACCAGCTCTCCTCCTCCTCCTCCCAGCCTGACAGGCGCTCCAGCTCCTCGGGCCGCAACGGCTCTACCTCGTCCAACAAGCCGCCCTCGCCCGCTGCCAGCAAGGAGGTGGCGTCCCGCATCTCCTCGCCACTCGTCCGCCTCAGGCCAGGACCGGCCCCGCTGCCCGACTTGGCGCTGAGGCCCAACGGGATGCCCCGAGGGGACGCCGCGCCGGAGGAGGGAGTGGACGCGCCGGTCCGAACCGGGCTGCCGGGCCCGAAGGAACCGGCACCCTGCACGGCCCCGGAACGGCTCCTCAGCTGTTCGTTCTGCTTCTCCAGCTTCTTCACCAGCTCCTGCAGCTTCCGCACCTCCTGGTCTGCGTTCACGTTGGAGTTAATGTCCTCCATCCCGGTCCTGTCGCTTCTGCCGCCTGCCACCCGCTTGGATTCACAGAGACAGGCAAAGCGTCCGAGGAAGAAGCGTCGCCGCCGCTGCCGCTCACTCTAGCCGAGGCGCCGGCATGCAGCAGGGCCAGGCCCCACCGCCAGGGTCCCCCCAGCTCCGCTTGGGAAGCGCTGCCGGCCCCAGCCGAGGCGCCTCATCTGCGCCGGCTCCAAGATTGGGGGAGGCGGTGCCAACATCCGGCTTCCACCGCCATCTTTCCTCCGTCCCTCCGCCCCCTGCAGCCCGCCCCGAACGTGACCTTAGAGCGTCGTGGGTGGACGCGGCCGCGGGCCGGCGCTGAGGACCCGGCGGGGCGGACCTTCGGCCGGAAGGGGCGTGTCAGAGGCGTCGCCGGGCGTGGGGCTCTGAGCGGTGGGCGGGGAATAGGGATTCCGGCAGCAGGCAAGGCCGGGCGTGGGTGGAGTGTGTACTCGGATGCATCTGAGATCGCAAACTGGAACTCTTGCTCACCCCACCTCTCTTGTTCTTGGGTGACGGTGTGGAGTGTGTTCAACACCCCCAAAACACGGGCGTGCGGGACTAGAGCCGGATCCTGTCCTCTCTGTCGGCTGGTTCTCAAGTGGGCGCTCACCCGGGCCACTTGGAGAGACAGTTCACTTGGTCTGTTTGTTCAGCAAATATTTATTCGGTGCCTACTTGGAATAGGATATTGTCAGGGCTGGCAGGAGCCTTAAAGACCATCTGTGACACATTTCTTCCTCTGAAAACGAGAAAACAGAATCCCAAATGGTTAAGAGAGGTCTAAGGTCAAAATAGTAACCATAAATTGCTGACTGCTTACTGCCGCCAACACTGCTAAGCACTTGAAAGGCATTGTCTCATAGATTAAAACGGTGGACACTGGCAGGGAAGCGGGGCGTAATAAACCACTCGTTTCTTCTCATTGTTAATTGATGCATAATCTTCTCTTTAGATTGTTTTCTTTGGAAAAACTTTTTCATAGTGTGTCGACTATTTTTTAAAGTTGTGTATTAAAAGTACCTAATAAGCTGACATATAATAAGGAATGCTGAGAGGTGTGTGTAAGTAAAATACCTGCCTTCAGTGGCACCCGTTTATAAAGTGTACTACTAACAAGAAAACAAATACCTAAAATGTTTTGATCACATTCATTTCTTTTTGGATGTCAAATCTAAATTACTTGACTTGTGTTTGCAGATTTCCTCTAATTGCCTCCTCCACCTTAGCTAGTAATGATCCAGCCCTATTACACTTGGGTGTGGACTCATACCTTAGTTTATGAGCTTCTACCCTTTAGCCTTTCTGTGCTGTTTTTCCTTGCCTAAAGTATTCTACCTGCCAAATCTGATTCCTTTTCTTAAACCCATATTCACCCACCTGGGAAATCTTTTCCTGACAATTTCACAAAGATCTAGTTATTTTGTTTACTCTAGCAATTACCTGAGCAAATTACAACAGATGTTTGCACTTTTAAAAAATTTATTCTTTTCTAAGTCTTTTTTTGTTTTGTCTATATACTTGATGAAAAGGGACCATTCATTTTATTTTCCATGTCTAGTATGGTGTCTGATACAGAGAACATTTAATGCCAGGCGTCTTGCCAATGGGTTTCAGCCCCTGGCAAGTTCACTATAGATTCAATGTGACCAAAGAGATGACAGTAGAAAGTTCTTGGGGTTAAAGGGTTATACCCAACTTTATTTCCCCAGTGGCAGGTCAATCACTAGAATCCCATCCACTCAGCTCTGAGTCTGCATTCAACAAGCTGGTCTCTGCCTCTGGACCTCTCTACATACACAGCTGTCTCAGTCTCTGTACTCCTCTCTGCTCTCCTGCAGACTTGCAGCTGTGCCACCATTTTCACCCAGAGCCCTAGGTGTAGCTCTTTATATTTATAGAGTCAATAACAACATATTGCCCACACATTGAGTTAGCCAACCGCCAGGTGGAAATCCTGGCCACAGGAACCTTCACTTTATCCACACCTGCTTTTCTTAAAGTTAAGAATATAAATCTGGTCAAGATCCAGATAGATGTTTATTCATATAAAAAAAAGCATTGACTATTTCAAAATTTGCTGACTAACTGTAAATATGTAGAGTATTTTCCTAGCTACATAGTCTTTGCTAGCACACAATAATTGTGAAGTAATATATAATCTATGTAATTGTGGATAAAATGAGAGTTCCTGTGGCCAGGATTCTCACCTGGCCCTGGTTGACTACCTCACTGCACACCTGTGGGCAATACATGGCTGTTGACTCTATAAAAAGAGCTCTGCCCAGTACTCTGGGCATGACACAGTAGCATGACTGCAAGGCTGCAGGAAAGCAGAGCAGAGGACAGAGGCCCAGAGGATGGCTGTGCAGAGAGGCCCAGGGACTGCTGTGTGGGACAAGGGTGCACAGAGGCCCAGAGGATGGCTGTGCAGGATGACTGTGCAGAAAGGTCCAGAGGACAGTTGTGCTGGCTGAGAGGCCCAGAGGCAGAAACTGGCTTGTTGTATGCAGACTCGCTCTGAGTGAATGGGACTTTAGTGACTGACCTGCCACCTGTGAGAATAAAGTTGGGTATAACCCTTTCACCCTGAGAATGTTTTGCTGTCATTTTCTTTGGTCACACTGAATCCATAGCAAACTTTCCCAGGGCTAAAACCCATTGGCAAGACAATTGGCGTAGTTGGCAGGGTTCATTGTTGGCCAAGGAAAAAGGCTGCCCTTGTGGGAGGGGTGCTTCAGTGGGCTGCCCCTGTGAATGGGGAGACAGTGGATCATCCCCCAATGTGTATGTGGTCTGAGGTGGCTTGTCTCCTAGAGGACTGGGCTCCACCCCAGGATTGGAGGCAAGTGGAGGTGACACCTGAGGCAGTAGCGGTGGCCCTTGGTATAGTAAGCAGATCCTTTGAGAAGCAGAGTGCCCCTGAGGCAGCGGGGACTGTGGGTTGGCTGCTTCTCACAGTCTGAAGACTGAGTGAGCATTGTTGCAAGGCACTGCAGCAGAGGAGGCACTTGGGGGAGTGGAGAGAAAGGTGCCATCAGCCCCAGAAATGGAGGAGCTGGGGAAGGATGAAGGTGTGGTGCCGGAGGAACTGGTGCCTCCTGTATTGAAAGCACGCCTAGTGGTTGTAAAGAAAATAAAGATCCAGCAGCTGAAAGTTCCCCAAGGAGAGGAGCAGCCCCCTCCCCAGGTCATGGAGCACTCTATGGCCCGCCCCTATACTCAGGCTGAGCCAGTGGCTGTGGGACTTAGGGGTGGATGGAATTGTTCTGTTGGAATCAGAGATGGAAAAGTAGTCTTTCCTGACAGTGCAGCCAGCCTTGAGGCAGCGATTACAAAATGCGAGGTGACACATACAGTAGCTGAAGCAATGAGAACCCAGAAAGAAATAAGACCTGTTACTCACAGGAGGAATTTGAGGGGCCCTGTGAGGGTTACGAGGACCCAGATGTGGGCTGATTTGATACGGGTAGGAGTAGATAGAAGGAATAGATGGGAAGCCAAATAGGCTCTTACTGGAGCTATGGCAACAACTGAAACCAGAGCAGCAATTCCAGCCATTAAGACCAAATAGGCAGAGGTCAGAGACAGAGCCACGAGTCCGGCCTGTGTGTCTGCAAGACTTTTTGCTGGAGAGGCTGAGGAACAATATTCAAGTTTCCTTGCACAGGGACCATTGCAGAGGATTAAAGGCACATAGATTGAGAGGAGAGAATCCTGGAGGGGTGGAGTGTGGATAAAATGAGAGTTCCTGTGGCCAGGATTCTCACCTGGCCCTGGTTGACAACCTCACTGCACACCTGTGGGCAATACATGGCTGTTGACTATAAAAAGAGCTCCACCCAGTGTTCTGAGCATGACACGGTGGTACAGCTGCAAGGCTGCAGAAGAGCAGAGCAGAGGGCGGCTGTGCTGGACGACTGTGCAGGCTGAGAGGCCCAGAGGCAGAGACTGGCTTGCTGTATGCAGACTTGTTCTGAGTGAATGGGATTTTAGTGACTGAACTGCCACCTATGAGAATAAAGTTGGGAATAACCCTTTCACCCCGAGAACATTTTGCTGTCATTTTCTTTGGTCACACTGAATCCATAGCAAAGTTGCCCAGGGCTGAAACCCACTGGCAAGACAGTAATGCACTTCTAAATATCACTGTTGTCTCTGACAAGTCTAAACTGGTTGCCAGAGGGTTAAACATCATGACTACTTCACATATAATAGCACTTTCTCACTAGCATTTAATGGATTGTGAAATAGATTCCAATCAGGTTTTGTAACAAGAACACTTCAAATATATTCCTTGAAAAGAATAATTCATATGACATTATGAAGTTAAAAGCAATATTTCATGGGGCAAGAAAAGGTTGGTGGGTTGTGGAGCAATGAATGGAGAATCAGAATGCCTGGAGGGAGATTCTAGCTACAGTATAAATGTGGTGCTTGACCTTAATCTCTATCCTCAAGGAGATCATGCTGGCCATATATTCAAAATGTGTCTGAATAATTTTCAGCACCTTCACTGATACAACTCTAGTTCAATTTGCCATTGATTCTAGTTTACTATGATACTCTTTAATGGGCTGTTCCACTCTGCTGCTTACAATCTGTGATGCACACAGCAACCAGATAATCCTTCATGTAAGTCAGATCAGGTCACTCCTTTGCTAGGAATCCTCCACTTGATTCCTACCAAACTTAAAATCCCAAGTCCTTTCCTTGGCCTCTAAGACTGGACACCTGGCAACTTCTGCAGTTATCTCACTGCCAGTCTTCCCCTCCATCACTCTACTCCAGCCACACTGGCCTTTTTGATGTTCTTCAAACATGCCAAGTATGTTTCTACTTTAGGAGCTTTGCACTTGCTGTGCTCCTTTCTAGGATCTATTCTTTCTCCACATTGTCACTTTACTGACTCTCTGCCATCATTCAGGTCTCAACTCAAATATCACCACCTAAATTCACTAGCTTCATTATTGTGACCCTTATAAAATAGCATTCCTATCAGTCCCCATCCTCTTAGCCTGTTTCATTTTTCCTCAGACACGTTGTACATTTCTTCCTTTGTTTATTGCCTGTCTCTCCCCAGTAGAATGTAAACTGCGAAAATAGGGCTCACTGGTATATCTCTGGTGCCTAGAACAGTGCCTACTATATTGTCAGCATTCAATAAATGTTGAGTGAATGATACATTTAGGTCAAGTGAAGCCTCTTACCAGAGATTTTCAGGTAAATCTGTTTATGTCTCAAATCATTAAAGTGGAAATTTTTAATATGTTCAAGTCTTGATTTTTTAAATTGTATTTTCCTCTTCCAAAGGAGCAATATGTCACACTATATATGTCATCCTCAAAAACTAGGTCATTCTCCACTTCCCATGTGCCAAACAGCCCTTAAGAATTGCTGAGGACAGAAAGTCTTAGGTTCTCTGTGAGAAGTATGAGGACAAGAATATTTTGATTCTATCCTATACCTTATGAGGATCCTTCTCTTTCAGGCTAACTACAATACTGTCTTTTCTGGTGACTCAGAAGTAGAGTATGTTTTTATAAAG